ACCTGACGGACCCTATCGCATTCGACGTCGAAGCGTGAGGTCGCGTTTGATTTTATTTTAAAAAACACTAGGCCTTGGCTTTCGTTAGTTGAAGAACAGACCCTTTTAGGGTCTTGTTTTTTATGGGACGCACTCTTGAGGTGCTTGTTTTTCCCTTGACAGGGCTGTGTTTTGATCTGGACAACGCACCACTAAGGGTCGCGTTTAAGTTGAATCACCCGAGGTTGTAATTGGATTCAATTACCCGAAGTGTGCGTTCCGCAATGCTTAGGAGATCTTCGGAGACGCAATCCTTGGTTTGGACCTCCGGATGATTTTCCGGAGGTGCAGTGCCGTCGATGGACCTTCTTCGTCGTCGAGCAGGTTTTTCTTGCTTGTTTCAAAGCCTTAGTATCAGCAACACCGGCGTTGATTGTGCCTATCTGTGTCATAGGCCTTTACAACCAAGTACCAACGCTGTGCGACATAGGCGTGTGATCTTCGGTTGTCAGAGCGAGCTTGGAGGCTTTGGCAAAGGAGAGGACTTCGTTTTGGGTCTCACAGCAGTTAAGGACTTTCTTTTAGGCCTTACAAGCATTTCCCGTAGCCTTTTAGCTGAGCGATCCGGAAGAGAGAGCCTCCTCGTGCTGTATTTGGTTGGTCAAATTCCACGACCAAAAGGGTTTCCACGGTTGTTCCAGTGAGGTGAACGTCGGATGCGCCAGCCCACCTCTTCGTCAGAGAAGCTAGTCCACCAGCAGAGTCGCCATCTTTTGTTTGTGAAAATTTGCAGTAAAAGAAATAAAAAAAAATTGATTTAGTATTTGTTTAATCTCAGTTACAATTGGATTTCCTGATTACAAAAGAGAAGAGAGATGATCGGGATTCCTCCTTGTTTAAATCTGGTTCTCTTTGGTAGCGATGGAGATGCCTCCCTCGATTGTTCGCGTCGAGTTGCTTCTCGTGACAGATCCGAATATCATCCTCACTGGACAACTGTCTTGTCTGTTGTTGATAACTCTTGACGATTTTGTGATCAGAACAAGTAACAACTCTAATGATAGAGTTTGTTGGAACCGAAAATAATTCGGTTAATAAGCCAAATATCGACTGCTTAGAGATCCTCGTTTGTTGATTTCCCAGACTGTGTAAGAGTCACTCCTTTTTCTGATTCTGGAAGATTTGATCGAAAATCCCCCTCCGATTAATGAAAAGAAATCTCTCTTGATCTATTATCAAAAATCCGATCTCCCCAATTCCAAAAAGAGAATCTTCTTACTCTGTTGAGTTTGTTGCTAGTTTATAGGGGGATTAGGGGTGTAACTGCCCCCCATAATTCCGCGCTCTAAATGGGGGTTTAGTTACCCCATTAGTCGGGTGTAAACAAACCCACTAAAGCACTCCTCAAATCGTGGGTGAAAACAGCTTTTCGAAGTTGTTACGATCACGTTTTGAATGAGTCAACCTTGAACCTGCGTTCTGGCGTGATGAGCTTGCTTTGGTCAGCGACTGACGGGTGCGTTGGCAGTGATGGATGGTAGCGCGCCAGCGGTTTGATAAGCTGCGTTGGCAGGCGTTTATAGCGATTGGAGCTGCGTTGGGCAGCGATTGATAAGCTGCGTTGGGCAGCGATGGAGCTGCGTTCGAGCTGCGTTTGGGCAGCGATTGGAGCTGCGTTGGGCAGCGATTGATAAGCTGCGTTGGGCAGCGATGGAGCTGCGTTGGGGCTGTGCTTGGCAGCGATTGGAGCTGCGTTGGGCAGCGATTGATAAGCTGCGTTGGGCAGCGATGGAGCTGCGTTCGAGCTGTGCTTGGCAGCGATTGGAGCTGCGTTCGAGCTGTGCTTGGCAGCGATTGGAGCTGCGTTCTAGCTGTTGATTGTTGTAGTATTTAGATTTCTCTGTCTTTATATATGGATGACACCAAAGACCAGTAAAGAAGGTCTTATTCAGGCCATTTGTGACAATTGAGGCATCTCAATAACGCTCTATCAACTGCAGGTCATGATCTCCACTGAGTGTGTCGAATATCATTACACTGCTCATCAGCACCTCTAATGGTTGCTAATATAATATTAGTCATGTTGTTGTCGCAGCCATCAAGATCAATCATCTCACATAAGAAGCTGCATTCGTGTTTATAGCTGTTGAAGCGGCGTAGGTGATTGAATCGGTGTAGTGTCTTGATGATGGTACGCGGGGAGGACTTCCACGTCTTGGTTTGAAGAGATCGTCGATTTGTAATCCTTTCTGTCAGAGTATTGCTAAAGACTGTCATTTTGTAATCTTTGCTTTAACTCTTTGACATGTGAAAATCTTCGAATTGTAGCCTTCTGGAAGTCGTCAGATTGTAACTTCCATCATCAGTGTTCGATGGAGACTCAGCTATCCATTGTGATTTTTAGACAGCCTACACTGCTTTAGCCTGGTAATGACATAGTACTGAACACTATATCATTGTTTTTATCATGGCTTAAACCATATGGCAAAGCTTGTGTGTTATTGTTTACATTGTTTTGGCAAAGCTTGTGTGTTATTGTTTACATTGTTTTGGTTTGGATGTCAACATCTTACAAGGATTCATAGCAGAGTAAGTTATGATAGCCAATAAGAGTGATATTTTGGGTTGCCAAGATGGTACAAATTAGGGGTGAGCACAATTTGGAGCAAACCGTTCTAACTGACCAAACTGCCCGAACTTTGGCAGTTCGGTTCAGTTGCAATTTTATATCGGGTCAGTTCAGGTTGAAGAAATTTCAACCCGAATTGCCCGAACCGACCAAAAGGCATGTGCTTGTTTAATTGGGTATTTGGGTTAAAGGGTTTTAGGAATACATATGCCTGATTGATGAAATCATGCTTAACGTGATTATGTTTTGGCGATTCTGATAATCCCAATTTAGTTGCAGAAGACTAGAACTTACCTCCCCAGTCTGTTAGGTCTCCCCCCCCCCCCCAAACCCCCTGGCATTTCATCATCTCCAACTATAGCTCCCTCTCAACTGAAGAACAGAAAACGAAAAGTTCCTAACTCTTTTTGGGATCGTTTGAACTTTGGATCTATGATGCCCTATTACTGTTCGTCTCTGGCAAGACTTATTTATGAATTTTGATTTTTACGATTGGTTTAGATCACAGGCATAGATTAGTGTTCAACCCCTTTTTCTTCACTCCCTCTTCCTTCACAATTTTTCTGCAATGCAATTTTTGTAATAGCAGCAAATGCTTTCACCTCCTTCATGTGTTCACAAATGCATAGCAGCATATCCTTGCATACTATACTATAATAACTTTTGTTAATCTAAAAATAGTTGATGGTAGGTTTAAAGCAAATATTTGTTAGTCATTCGCTGAGTAAACTATGACCCGATCAAACCGAATTGCACTGACTGAACCGAAGCGGAGTAGTCCGGTTCGGTTTCAAGAAGACTTCGGTGTGATTTCGGTTTGGCAAATTAAGGCTGACCAGCCGAAGGAACGCTCACCCCTAGTACAAATGTTGCATCACCCTGGAAGAAGCTATGGAAAGATACATCCTAGTCCCTCATCTCCTACTTTATCCTATAAGATGTAGCAGCCTGTATTCCGATTATATATTCTAGATTGTTGCTACTAACTATCAACTAAAAGTGACATGTCTCGTCTTACACCGGTATAAGACAACAAAGAGAATGATGACATACAAATGAACCAGACCTGCTGTACCACTTAAGAGACCCATACAGGAGATTGAAAGCAGTGCTCATAGAGGTTGGCATGCAGAAACTGAAACTCCGAAAAAACTAATATAGCATTATCTTAAATATTAATAAGACATGAATAGCACCTTATCAAAGACGGGAATTATGTGCTTGTTGAAATAAACGAGGAACTTGCTGCTTGATGCACCTCTCTGGATAAATATGTAAGTAGCAGATCAATAAAGAAAACGATGCTACAGTTATCAGATATCCTCAAGAACAAAAGAACTTGAACTAAATTCAACCAAGTATACCTTGAAAAATGGAAGAGCCATGTACATGCATGAAGTCAATCTGTCAATGTGGTCAATATCATCAACCTGCAGATTAATAGATATGCTGGTTAAGGCTACAAACTCAGAAGAGAACTCTGGTAGGATAAGCTATTAAAAACAAATACACAAACTAACAGCCAAACAATGAGAAATATGAGCCAGAACCTCAAAAATCATTTAGATCGCACTATCGCAGACCACAAATAACACTGTTCTAAACTTATATTTAAAACTTATGACAAGTTGTACTCTTAACTGTTTCTCAAAGCTTTGCAGCACAGCAAATAAAAACATGGATGGAGGAAACAAGGTTGTTACATAAGATTTACAAAGAATTGAAAGCTTTGAATTGTTTCAGCAGAGTCAGATATTTACTTGTGCGAAAATGAGCATGTTATGAAATTTGAAAAGCAAAATGCATAATATCCTAGGAGGATAGCAAAATTGAGGACTATTAAAGTAGAAGCATAACAATGTTATATGAATTCAGCTAACGTGAGAGAACATAATTAATATACTAAAAGATAAGGATGAAATCATGAAACGAGAGCTTATTTTATATAAAGGGGCTAATCATTAGCCTACCTTCAATTTCACAGTTCTTTACTGATTCTGTATGGCCAGAAATGAAGATCTTATACAAGAAGTGCATCCATTGTATTCATGGAGGTTACCATTGGTAAGTCTTTTTAAACTGGCTTTAAGCCTTTAACTGCAGTATGTTGAGTCAGCTTAAGAATGTGAGGTGGTCTGAGTTGGTTTAGTACAGCGCTACTGAAGATGAAAGATTGATCTATTTGGCTAGTTTAGTATGACCATAAGATTACCTCGTTCCAATAGGTCTTTAATCAGTAAATTGCCCAGTTATGGACACATAACGAAACTAGATGATTTACAAACATTACCTTACATTGCAGGTAACTTACTACAGATATTTCATCAACACATCAGGAAGAAAAAGAGAGAATTCGTTTCTTAAAAAATTTAAGGAAACAGTCAGCAAGTTAGGGGAAAAATGGATACTTTGCAAGTGGAGAGTTAACTATTCAAATCAGTTTGAAGTTTCGCATCGCCAAACAGAATCACATAAATCTCACCATCTACGCTTGGAAACTTACATTAAATAGAGCGTCAAGGTCAGCCTGTCCTTCAATTATTTCAATTAGTTCTTGAATGCGGTCTGGAGGAGCACCCTCTCCAAATATGCTTAAACTCTTCAAGAAGTCCATGAATAACTTGAATTCCGCACCAGTTACATCTTGCAGGCTCTGAATACAAAGCATTAAACTTGTCATAACGCCATATCAGACAATCACACAAGTGAAAGTATTGATACTTATGCACAGTACAGATGCATAATATTTCATATTTCATAAATACTTAAAGGTATAAGCAAGTGATTAGTACTTACTTTCTTCACTAAATCAGTGACATATCTTTCCATCTCAACTTGGGGCTTTAACAGCTCAGCTTTTAAAGGAAAAACCTGACAATACATGCTTCCATGTCAATCTTTTTACAGAATATAGTACAAAAGGAAGGTGCTTATTTATATGCTGCTACCTTGTCCTTGAGAAAACAGATGACTTTTTCACGGATGTTCTCTATACCATTCTCCACATGCTTTAACAAAGCTGTTAAAGAGGCTGCATGAACAAAAATCACAAGTTGGTATGAAGAGAAGAAAATGTAGACAGCTAGATACAAAAGGAATTTCTAAATTGTCATGATTGCACATTACACTTATAAAACATCCAACAAGATCGAACTTGATGAGAATCTATACTACTATCATTGTTTTAAATATCGGCCGATAATCGATATTATCGGCCGAGTTATCGGATTTGGGAGCTCTCCGCTAGGATAAATTGGATTTTTAATCAGTTATCGTTTTTCTAGGTTTATCGGCGATTTATCGGCGTTATCGGCACTTATCGGCCGATAAGTAAGACCTTTTTATCGGGATTATCGGCTCATTTTGACTAACATTATATTTTTTTCAAGGCTATGATGCAAGTTTCGCTTTCTACAATTGGTTAATGATTCTAAACATGATGATTTACATTTTGGTATGTTTATATTTTATTAAGCATGATTAGATTATATTTTTTAATTGTTATATTATATATACACATCATCCAGTATATCACTCCGATAAATACTACTTATCCCCGATATATCCCCGATTTCCGCTATCCGATAAGGATTTTGGTCGTCCGATAAATCCCCGATAACCGATATTTAAAACCTTGACTACTATACTAAACAACTGCCACTGATTGCATTGCCTTGACAAGTGGCACAATATTCTTTAAATTTTTCCCACCTAAAAAGACATTATGCAATATAACAATCAATAAAATAAAACCATTCTGTCATTTGAAATCTAGAAAGCAATTATTGTCCTTTTGCTCCCTGCTTCACTTATTCTTTCATTGGATGACGCTCACCATTTATTGTAAATCTAAAACTTCTCATATACTTGTTGGTGTTCTTGATGTAAATGCCACACTTGAAGATAAACTGCCTTCTTGTGTGACTAATTACAGCATAAATTTTCCATTCTTAACTATTTCCAAGCTTATATTTAATTGGGTTCTTGACAATATGTACATACTTCTCAATCCTGTGCACAATTCAGGAGTGTCATTCTCTCCTTCCCTATATCACTAAAATGTAAAAGTGTTTAGAATAATTCGCACAACTTAATATTATCCAGAATAATAGAATAGCATTTTACCAGTAACTTGTCAGTACTAATATTCTGACCATTTTGTACATATTACCTTTTACATCTTGCCTTAAGAGAGACATAAGGGCCTTATGCACCGCATCCCGCTCCACATTTTCCTCTAACAATAGAAGTGAACAAATGGATCATAAACACAAACGAAAATGTATATGAGACAAAAACTAAGAAAACTAAGGCTTCCAAAAAGAAGTACCATATATTAAGAGTTGCCCAAGAACATCTACAATTTTTGAAACATCTTCTGAATTATCTTTGCAGAGAAGAGGAAGCCCGCGAATTGCTTGGACTCTGACCTGTAGTCATTGATAATTCATAAATATTCTGTTCAAGGAATGAAATAAAAATTGTATTCACCGTAATAGTGAGAATAATACAGGGGTATACAACAAGCAAAAGCACATCACATGCAGGATACAATTGAGTCCGCCAGTTATGATGACATTGCATGAGAAGGAGGTCCAAAAATAGGGGATCAAAATGAACTTAAAGCAGATTTCAAGAACAAAAAGGGCTTTGAATGCTAACTGTGGGAGTAAATCATCAATGCAAACCACAATAGTATAGAGCTAACTACAAATATATTTTTTTACGTTGAAATCTTTACCCAAGAAAGGACATCATTTCTGACCGTTTACTATAGGGGAAAAAACTCAATTACCTGCTTCAAGCAAGTTAGCTGAACTCTACGATATAGCATATTGTCATTATGATCAATATCAACTCTATAAGATTCAATTTCTCAAAATCCAATGAATATATACGAAAAGCTATCAACTTATCAACAAAATTCACTCAGCCATCAAGGAAGAGACTCTTCGCATGCGAAGAGAACAGAGAAATACCCAATTCTACTCATACACCCCATAATTTCAAAACCTTAATTTGTTTACTTTAGCATCTTAAAGCCCTCCAGGTTAACATCACTACATCACCTACTTATGATGACATTGTCTAAATCGATCGAAAAAATAATTCAATTTGCACCAAATGAAACTACTAAATGGACAAAACTTTAAACCCCTAAGTAGAAGATGAATTACCCCGAGCTCTTCCTCTTCGACGAGATCGAACTGAGCGGTCAATGCCTTGCTGGCGAGGCTAGGGAAGAACTTGAAGAACCTCGGGATCAACTGCGCCGCCAGCTGCTTCGCCTTCACGCTCCCGCCCTTCACCACCATTATAATCCCCTCGTAGTCGCTAACATTCTGCAAACAGAAACCCTCCCAAATTACGAAAAGCCCTAATCACAAAACCCTAGAAAGGGGAAGAGGAGGGAAAAAATGATCAGCTCACCTGAGATTTGTCCTTGGATTCGCTAAGGCGCTCGCCGAACTCGTAGAGCTTCTCGACCTCGGCGGCGTCGGAAGAGTCTCCGGCCATCGGACACGTCGGAGAGCGAGATTAGGGTTTTGGAGGGTTCAGAGCTGAGCTCGTTGGTTTGGGGGGCGGTGATGGGACTGCTGGAAATATATTGGAGGTTGGGGATGAGGTGCGGTGACGGCACCGCGAGCGATTTCGGGCACGTAAGCGGGTCGGATAGTTATACCCGTTAAAGCAACCGCCCGTAATGATGGGGGTTGTTAACGGGTAAAACAGCGGATGCTATCTGTTGAGCCGTTTGTATTTTCTTTCCCCTGCTCTTGTCGTTCAACCCCTATTCCCACTTCGATTGATTGTACTTATGCAAATAATGATAAATGTACTACTACCACGCTCTTTATACTACTTTGACGCTACCACTCACAAAAGAGTGAGATCATGACGACTCACAATTATAATTTTCAACTGGTGAGTCATCACAATCCCACTAACAGTACGAAAGTGGAACACGGAGAGTAGTACGCTTGGCATTTTTCTACCAAAAAGGGCGCGATTAAAAGAAAAGTTTGCATTGGCTACATTTTTTTTTTCTTAAAGAGAATCCTAACATGACCATTCCGAGCACTGCCAGCGCTCATGCCCAAGACCCAACATTTGAAGCAGAGATGTCAAATATCGGCGTATATACAGTATTGCAGTCAAAACAGGATTGTCCTTCTAGAACACAAAACCCACCCTTTGCAAAAGGAATGAAAACAAACCTATTATATGTCACATCCACACCCCCTATCATGTTATATCAGGCGTGGAGATTTTCTTTTCTAACTAGTTTAAAATAATATCTAGAATTAATATAAATATACTCAAAGGGAGGGATGAGAATTGAATTAGCACTTTATATTTCAAGCCTTAACACTCGATCTATGCTATATAGATCATTGGCTCATCGACTCGGACATTGAAAGTACATGTTAATCCTATCACGCCTATATTAACGCCAACCAAAGCCTTTGTACTTTTGAAGAGGGAAACTTCTAAAAAAGAGTTGGCTCCGTAGCCTACTTGCTCTCTAAACTATTAAATTTGTCTCTTATTATCCATTGAACTATTTTTGATCCCTACATATACCCCATAAACTATTGAAGTCGTCCTCTGCTTACCTCATTAACTATGTTTTGCTCCACCTAGTCCCCTAAACTATTAAGTTCCCCTCTTTTCGCCACTTAAAAGTACATACTCACCTCTTTAAACTTCAGAGGAAAGTTCAGGGGTAAAGCGAAACTAAAAATAATTCATGAGGTAAGCAGCGATGAATTTAGTAGTTTAGAAAGATTAGACAAAAAATATTCCGGGGGTATAAAGGGATGAATTTGATAACTTGGAGGACAAGTAGAGATCGGAGCCAGAAATAATTATATAGATCTATGAAAACTTCTTCCAACACAAGCAAGCAAAAAAGACAGTTATAGCTTAACAATTCATATAAAGTCCCATCATAAGACAAGTACATATTATATCCTAAGAGCCTCATTGCGAGTCAGTCACAAATCATATCCATGTTGAGTCCATGAATAACACAAGCATAGAATATTGCCACCGCGGCACCGCAACATGTGTAAATTTCTTCAAAACACGGACACAGATTATATTACACTGTAGGGCTCCTTTGCAACAAAAGCACAAACTATATCTACTGTAAAATCCCTTACAACACAAGCATAAAACATATTCCACAAATACGTGAAGTCCCATCAGAAGAAAGGAAATCACAAAGCATTACCCTCACCATGCATATATTGTCTCCTCACAGCATATATATGTTTGAAAAACCAGGTTTCCGGTGAACAGTGTCATCAGTCGACTGATGCTAAGATCAGTCGACTAAAGAAAAACCTTGGAATTGTGAAAACGTTTCTGCGCAGTCGACTAATAGGCGATCAGACAACTGATGAGCTCGTTCAGTCGATTGATAATCCTATCAGTCAACTGATGGAACCGTGAGCAGTTTTTTATGCATGTTATCGGTCGACTGATGTTTCACATCAGTCGACCGATATCGGTTTCCTGGGCTGTTTTGATTTCCTGTTCGGTTTTGGTTTGGCGTTTGATATAAATACAAACATGATTTCTAGGGGTTAATAGAGGAGAGATTGTTGAGTCTTCTGAGCACTCTGAGAGAGAGATATTGTGTGGGAGTTGAAATCTTTGGTTAGGGTTATATTTGAGAGTTTGTGTGAGTTATAACCCGTTGTATTTCTCCTCCATATAGTAAAATCTCCCCATCCGCTCCCCGTGGACGTAGCCAATTGTCGAACCACGTAAATCTCTGTGTTTGTGTTGGATTTTGGCCTTTATTTGGGAATTGCACTCGTGTTTGGTTCTTCTCGCATCGCTCGTCGACTCGTTTGGTTTGCGAGCACGCTTTCGCACGGCGCTCAACAATTGGTATCAGAGCTCCGATTTCAGATCTAGAGTTTTGCATTAGGTGGAGGAAGATTCGCTGTTAGAAGCTTAGATATTGGAGATCTAGACTTCAGTGGAGATAGGGTTGTGGAGTTGCCGTTGGAGATCTCGTTTTCCTCGTGTGGTTAGGAGATTGCGTTGGAATCCTATCTAAGGGTTCAGTTGGGTAATTTCTCAATTCTATCAAAGTTCGAGTCTTTCTTTATAATTGGAGTTAGTTTGCAATGAGAGAAGAAGTTGGTGAAAGCAGCAAGGCGATGACGAGTACAGTTCAAGTTGCACTTCAGAATACAAAGATTAGTGTTGTGAAGTATGACAGCAAAATCAATTTTGGTTTGTGGATGAGTGACGTACAGGACGCTTTGAATGCTCAAAATTTAGAAGAGACCATCATGGTCCATGAGAGGCCACCGAAATATGATGAGACGATATGAGACAAGATGAATCGAAATGCTTGTGGGGTGATCAGGTCTTGTTTGGAATAAGAGCTGAAATATAATGTGATTGGCATGACGTCTGCGATAAAGATGTGGGAGATTCTCAATAACAAATATCTTACGAAGAGTGTTGAGAACTATTTGCACTTGCTGCGAAGATTGTTCAGATTCCAGATGTCTAGAGATACCTTACTTGCAGCTCATGTGACCAACTACACAAAGTTGTTGTTGGACTTGACGAACATGGATGAGAAGATATCTGATAAGTACAAGACGATTATTTTGTTAGACTCCTTACCCGATGTGACGCCCCTGGTTTCACACAAGGCTGTAGTCCAAGATGAACCCAAGGATGTCAAACATGTCATACACCCACACTGTGTAATAACATGTTTCACCATCATAGTAATATCTCTCTAGTGGAAATCAACGACAAATGCAAGTACAAAACAGGCAAATAAAGATAATAATACAATGAACATGATATAGAAAAGAGATAACCAAATAATCATGTTCCAACCGAATAGCATGAAGTATAACTGATAAACTGAATTAAATATGAAATATCTCGATACATAGAGTCAAATGACATAGTACTAAGGCACTCAGCCTTTACAAAATGAAATACAACTCTAAAAGTCAGAGAATAAACTATAAACTGTTGTGGAGCTCTAAATAACTACTAATAATATAAGATGGAAGCTAAACTGCATCTCCATAAACTTGTGACTCTCTGTACGCCTGGCTCGCTGCCTGAAAAGAGAAGAAACAACGAGCGCCAAAGCGCTAGCGAGATCATCTCCACCGCCCTAGGGGGAGGGGGTTAGGAGTATATATGAAAATATGTTAGTACATATATAAAAACATCTATTCTGAACTAAGATGAATTGAGATTTAGAAATTCACAACACGAGAATTAGTACATCGAGCAAAATAATCTAAACAAGGAAACTCTCATGTATATACCATGTCTCAAATTGTGAATGGCTAAATCCCAACTCCAGGGTCCTAGGAATGAAACAGTAAATAAAATAAAAACAACTCCAAACCTCATCAATACAAGTCACATCAAATCCTCATACTACCCTCAGGTAGTTGGCACAATCACAAGAATAAACATCCGGTAACGTGAAGCTCGCATGAAATTTGTCATATAGAACAACCTCAAAATCATACCCTACTCTCGGGTAACTAACACGAATGAAATATGTACAATGCTTTATGTTAAACATACTAATACACATAGGTGAACTATGTTCATAAGAAATGCGGCTCACTAGCTTATCGCATATCATGTGGAACAGATTACTTATTCAGGTATCCTAAGAAAATACGGCTCACTGGCTTCATCGCATCACCATGCAGAATGGACTACCTCCTCGGGCATCCTACAGGTACTGCTCATTAGTCTCATTGCATCACCATGTGGAACGGACAGCCTCCTCAAACATCTTATAAGTACGGCTCATTAGCCTCATCACATCACCATGCGGAACAGACTACCTCCTCAGACATCCTCATCAACGGTATATCGGCACACCACCCTAGGTGATACTGAGCTGTGCTTATCAACTGTATCCATACACACACCTATACTATTCTAACTAATCAACTCCTAGTCGTGGGAAAACAAAACATGAGGTTACCCATTCCCGAAGGTCTATGCGTATTCGAACCCAACTCGTCCTCCTCATTGACACACACGTGTTTCGTCGGGCCACTCGTACTTCGTGCGTGCGAAACATACAAATATGGAGAAACTCAAATACTTAAACCAACAACATATTGGTTGATCGAAGTATGCCATCGGTCGATCGGTCAACGTCATGCACAAACGTGCATATGCAACTTAGCAGGGATCGGTCGGCCGACCCGAGCCTTACCTGATAATGGATTTTAGTTTCGGGTTTTGATCTTCAATTCATCAAATTGACATTTTTACAGGTAAACACATATAATTAATCTTGTTTAATATGATTAGGGTTCAATTAGCTACATGAAGCACAATTAAAATATATAGGTGAATTATATAAACCCTAACATGTTCATGTTCGTCAAAAACATCATGAAAACCAATAAATCTCAATGAAAACTTATGTTAAATTTTATTTCAGATCTCAAATCCAAATCAGAGAATTCGTTTATAAATTTTTAAAACAAAAAGATCGAATCTTTGTATCATATACTTTAAAAGAGCAATTCTACTTAAACTAGGTTTTAAGGCCAAATAAAACGAAATAAAACTCAATAAATCAATAAAAATAGGGATGAGATTGGAAGAAATGGAAACTCGCCTCAAAACTCATGATGAACTCCCAGACACGCGAGAAAACAGATCCTCCTTTGCCAAACGCCGACGACCTC